ACAGTTCCCATGGCAACCATCATAGGAAGCATCAGTCCCGTAGGAAACACGAGCTAATTGGTTAAGATGTTTTAAATGAACTATTGGAAGAAGATATTTAGTCAAAGCTAATAAGAATGACGAAAAAAGAACTGGTTATAAGGATAGATTAAAATACTCGAGCTGTAACTTTAAGGTTTCAGTTTTGTTGCACACACACAGATATGGATAAACTTATGTTATTGTTGTGTGTGTATATATGATGGTATATAATGCACTTTATAAGACATATGAACACTTCTGAATAAACTGCAACTCTCCATCTGTGTTATCAATGATGAAAAAAAAATGATTCATCATAATAATTTCTATGTTATGCTGACTTTTAAATTGTATTTGAACTTTGATATTTGAAAAACAAGATTATGGTAGAGCAGTGCTTTCAACTGTCATACTGAATACCATATTTCAAAGTTGTGTAACCATGCTGTGTATAAAACAACTTAATTTCCTTCTTTGCTGTTGAAAGCCTCTGACATTTTTGATCGAAGAAAGAGCTCTCTGAGTTTATTGAACACCTTCCAAAATTCATGTCATAATCTTTAGGGCAGAAATAAATAACATTTTCAATGGGAAACCTTCTGAAAACTTTATAATAAAATTAATATGAAGATGTAGTATGATACGTTGAATTTTTATTTGCAAATTAAAAATCCTGATGGTCATTATATGATAAAGTGGGACTGTTTACTTGTATATTTATTGTGTATTGGTGAATGTGCTATTGAGTTGAAAGATGTTGTCTTTATGTACAGAAATCCATGTCAAGTATGTTGTCTTATATACAAAAATCCATATCATGATTGTAGAACTGGCTGAATGTTTCCAAACTATAACATGAATGACTGTTCATAACTTATAAACGTTCAAAAAAGTACATTAGTTTTTTAGTCAAAAACAGACCACAATTACTAGATTGGACCTACAGCAGTTTGTATAGAATACACTTTTTAAGACATATGAACACTTCTAAACTTGGTTGAACGTATGCCTCACCTTTAACTATTTTGTTAGTCTGGTAACACAAAAAAACACATTCCTGGTAAATCTGAGAACTCAATTATTGTATCACACGTTGCAACAAAATGTGGTATTTAGCTGAGCTGAGTATGAGATGCAGTTATGAAATGGATAGAATATGGTAACTGAAGCAAATGTTAAACCAGCAAAACTATTTCTAAAGTTGTAAGTGTTTTCAAGTTTAAAAATTATTCATTTAAGGTATATACTGATTAACCACAGAGACTTGCAAAGTAGAGTTAGGAACTGTAACAATTTACTTCAATCAGTGTACACTATTCTGATTGATGTCTTTCTTTATAGTGGTGCATGGTGTACACTATTCTGATTGATGTCTTTCTTTATAGTAGTACATGGTGTACACTATTCTGATTGATGTCTTTCTTTATAGTAGTGGATGGCGTACACTATTCTGATTGATGTCTTTCTTTATAGTAGTGCATGGTGTACACTATTCTGATGCTTACATCATGTAATGAGTTTGTTATAGGTTCATGTTTTTCTCTAATGTTATAAAGATTGGTGTCATACTAATATTTCTTCTGTTTCAAAATATTTTTACGAGTTTTGTTGTTTCTATCCTGGATGTTTACCAGTAAATGCATAAGTAGAAAATACTAATTTTTAAGAAACATTTTTGATTAGATCGAGAATAAGAACATTTTCATGGCAATATTATTTGCTTTGCCAAAATTTTGACAAAAGACCCTCAGTAGTTATTGTTTTTCTCTAATTATGTAGGAGAAACCCAGCTCTAATGTCCTTCATGGTGTGATCCAGGCATTTAGAGCTGCTGTACAAGGAGCAGAAGGAGAAGCTTCATCAGTAGAATCTCAGTTCAAGGTGGAGAGTGGAGCAGGTGTTAAACTAGTTCATGTTTATGTAGTTGTTGTCGACTGATTCTGATTAATAGAAACAATAAATGTAAAAATGTGTATGTGTATTGAATGATACTCAAATTAAGAATATAGCAAGTTTTAGAATATATTACCATCACATTGTTCGTATTTGGTTATCTAGCTTCAAGGCTCATCTTATTGTTCTCTGTGCAATTTTTTACGGATAAGTAAATGTTTTTTATAAGCATGAACTCATGCTTAACATATTTTGATAACTGTGAAAAACAGATATTTTTAAACCTATTTATAGATTAGGTGAAAAACCAGATAACTTATATTATTTTTAGGACATTCTGTTCTAGTATCTGATATATTTTTTGTGTTCTAAAATACATATTTGAAACCTACATGAATTATTGTGGATAGCCAACATGGTAAAGAAAATGTTAGCATTGCCAAGCCACACATGCTCAAGTGCAAAAGGCCTCAGTTCCAATACTTGAGTAACTGATTGAAGATGATTTGCTGTGAGGTTTTAACAAAATTTTCCTTGAACAACATGATACATCTCCTATGTAAATACAAAGAATTATCTGTATATATCTAGGAAAATATCATTATATATGATGGTTTTATATAAAATTCTTGAAGAATTATGTTAAGAGTAATCCCTGCGATTTGCTTTTTATTAATAACCTGGTTTTAAAATGACCAATACCAGAGAGAGAAATGTTGTACTCATCTATTCTAATGGCATTTTCTGCACCTGTATTTTTTGAAAATCTTGCACAAAGTTTTCAGTCAAAGCTTGAAATAAGTAGGTAGGTGTAAAGCCCTATAAATAAATTAATTAACCACACAGTAATAAAGTAAACTATTGTACGAAAATTTAGAGCTCTCCTGGACATTAAGAGTGTGGGTTCATGTGCGGTTACATTGGCTATTCCTCTGTCTTTGAAAATCACTAGATTTTGCTTGTAATAGTCTGGCCCCATCCATTACTTTAGCTTTATTTTGTCATTCATGTGTAGATGTCATCTTTTTGTTTTCACAAATGTCAACTCTTCTGTAATGTTTTTGTTTGAACCAAGTACTTCAGTGCCTGATTCAAAACCTGGACTTTAAGGCTTTCATTAATGAGAATGAGAGTTGCACATAATCTAGAAATATATTTATGTGCTTGTTTTAGTTTTCATGCTAAAACTTTTAAATTAGTAAGCAAATGTTAACGAAATCTGGCACTTTATCTGTAAATATTACAATGCTTTGATATGCAAAATATCTAATTTTTTATTAAGTCTTAAGGTTTTTAAAGCATTGTTTCTCTCATGCATTTTTTTCTTTTCACATCTTGCCTATCTACCATGCAAAGTAATTTTCATATTGACATTAAAAATACTTTTATGCATCAGAAATTTAGAAATTTCACATGTGAAATCTTTATAATGTCCAACTAGTTATCACACGTTTCTTAAGAACAAACTTTATATTTTATCTGTTATTATCAATAATTAATCTCTGTACGGGTTCGTTAGACTTGACCGATCTTGCAACCACCATAAAAAATTAAGAAATAAACATAAATAAGCATCTTTCATTCTAGAATGAACACAAATTATAACATGAAAACATAAATGTTTAGACAAAATAATAACTAAAGTAACTAAAATGTAAAAATAGGAATCTCTTTATGTTAAGGTTTGATCAGGTAAAATTAATAATAATAATATGATAAAAATATTTCACGAGGCATGCATGTGAGCAGCTCGGAGTAGCTTGTGGGTTATGTAATTTGATAGCGTAACATGAGATGCACATTCTCCGAGTAACTTACAACTTATAATGGGAGAATAGTAGTTAGACATGGCTCAAAGGGCAATAGAACAATAAAATGTAATTATATATAGATGTATACTGTTACAAGTTTAAAGCTACTTAGGATAAACGAGTGTAGTTTCATGTTACAATTTGAAGTCATTCTAGAAAGAAAAAGAGGGTAATTTAGATTTATTTAAATTTTTTTTGTGGTTACAAGGTCGGTCAAATGGACCAACCTTGTATAAAGTAAGGGTAAATAAAATATCAAGTTTTACTGAAAACAAGCATTTGAAATGTATTTAGAAGGTTTCAGAAATTACACAAATGAAATTTGAGGTTTTTGTGATGAAGAAAGTATTTTTAATATTAATATGAAAATCACTTTGCACATGGACTATTCAACACAAATACTTGATATATTCATGGACAAATGTTTTTTTACTTTAATAAGAAATAATTCACTAAAGATATGATTTTTTGTGTGTGAAAGACTTATAATATTTACTGAAAGACTGCCAAATTTTGTGAAGATATACACTATATTAAAAGTCAGTAGTATCAAATCTATAAAGACTTAAAGAGTACAAAGAGGTCACGTGGTTGGTCAAATTGACCGAGCTCGTATTGAGAGAGTTAATGTTTTGAAAGTGAGTTTAGACTATTAGGTTTGATATCAGGCTATTGTGGATATTTCTTATTTCAGTAATATCTTTGTACTACTTATCCTTGAGTAAATTCTATTTGGACAAACTTGAAGATTTGTAAAGACAAGAAATGACGTCTTTCTTTATAGTTGTGCATAAATTGTAAAGGCTCTTGTCACACAGTTAGAAAGCTGGAAAAATTGTGATTGATAGAGGAAATTGTCTGCTTTTTGCATGTTATTATTCTATATTCTTTGGTGCATTATCTAATTAACTCTTTCAACCTGGGCTAGGTCCATGGGACCGACCTCATAACCATTTTATTAACACTTAATCTTATTACATATTAAACATTACATCAAGAAGTCTGAACAACTTATTAACTGTTTCTTTACAGTGACTAAGCTATTGAAATGTAATAAGAGATGTTAAAGTGTGTCACAGTTAACAACCAAGAAGCAGCAAGCCATATTTAATATTTTAATAGTAGAGAGAAAGAAAGATTTCATAAACATAATGTTTTATGGGGAATTTCTAAGACCACATATGAAGTTTGCCTTTTCCATTTATTAAATTTATATTGTTGGTAATTTCATTTTTGCTCTATAGGAGGTAATTATTATTTTCACTTCTGTACAACAGGAAGAAGTTAAACAATGTTACTGTCGATGAATTCATGATGGGAGGACTTTCATCAGATGACTCTGAAGAATTGGAAAGTTCAAAAATTGTTAAAAGCACTGCAGCAAAACGAGGACCTTCGAAAAAAAATAAATCCATAGCAATGCAGAAAACAAAGAAAATAAAACTATCAAGAAAACCACAAAATATTGAGAATGATGTGATGTCTAGGTAAAGTATTATTTTGTATTGTTTTAAATTTAAGAGTTGATAAGTTTAAAATTTTCTGTCAATTGTTATAGTTGAGGATTATTGAGAGCCAACTTCTGATGCCCTTAATTGAATAGGTGAATGGACTACTGCAAATAGCTTTCAGCTTGCTACATTTGAAAACTGCTTCCATGTTGTTGTTTTTTTAACAGTGATAGGGTTTGAAGTTTCACATGGGTACTGCTTGAAACAAAGTTCTTGGAATTCATTCTTGCCATTAATATAACTTTTATTTTACATAATTACAGCAGCCTTAAGAATAAATATACCACAAAACCTACAGGTTATTGTACTAGGGAACTGAATATACCACAGAATGTAAAGGTTAAGTGTACTAGGAAACTGCATATACCACAGAGTCTGATGGTTAAGTGTACTAGTATACTGAGTATCCCACAGAATGTAAAGGTTAAGTGTAATAGGGAACTAAATACACCACAGAGCCTGATGGCTAAGTGTATTAGGGTACTAAGTAACCCATAGAATGTAAAGGTTAAGTGTAATAGGGAACTGCATATACCATAGAGCCTGATGGTTAAGTGTTCTAGGGTACTGAGTATCCTGCAGAATGTAAAGGTTAAGTGTACTAGGAAACTGCATATACCACAGAGTCTGATGGTTAAGTGTATTAGGGTACTAAGTAACTCATAGAATGTAAAGGTTAAGTGTAATAGGGAACTAAGTACACCACAGAGCCTGATGGTTAAGTGTATTAGCATACTGAGTATCCCACAGAATGTAAAGATTGGTATTTCTCAATATATGTGTGTCTTATAATGTGTTGAATACAGTAAAGGTAGGTATTTCCCAATATATGGCTTATAATCTGTTGAATACAGTAAAGGTAGTATTTCTAAATTATGGCTTATAAGCTGTTGAATATAGTAAAAGTAGGTATTTCCCAATATATGGCTTATTATCTGTTGAATACAGTAAAGGTAGGTATTTCCCAATATATGGCTTATAATCTGTTGAATATAGTAAAAGTAGGTATTTCCCAATATATGGCTTATTATCTGTTGAATACAGTAAAGGTAGGTATTTCCCAATATATGGCTTATAATCTGTTGAATATAGTAAAAGTAGGTATTTCTCAATTTATGGCTTATAATCTGTTGAATACAGTAAAGGTAAGTATTTCCCAATATATGGCTTATAATCTGTTGAATGCAGTAAAAGTAGGTATTTCCCAATATATGGCTTATAATCTGTTGAATACAGTAAAGGTAAGTATTTCTAAATTTATGGCTTATAATCTGTTGAATACAGTAAAGGTACGTATTTCTAAATGTATGGCTTATAACTGTTGAATACAGTAAAGGTAAGTATTTCTAAATGTATGGCTTATAATCTGTTGAATACAGTAAAGGTAAGTATTTCTAAATGTATGGCTTATAATCTGTTGAATACAGTAAAGGTAAGTATTTCTAAATTTATGGCTTATAATCTGTTGAATACAGTAAAGGTAGATATTTTAAGTCACTCCAAATATATGGTAACCACACTTGGAGATAAATTGACTAGCCACTTTATTGGGACCCTCATCTAACCTTTCACCCCGATAATAGGGCTCAGCACAATATGTCAGAATGTAGAGGCGGTTCCTGGCTCATGAATGAGAATTATGGTTTAAGTACAAAATTCAAGTTCATCTTAAAAATGTTAATTGGTTTGAGTTCTGTTTTTGTGATAGGAAAAGGCTTAACTCAGTTTAATAATTTACTTAAACACACAAAATCCAGCAATATAATTCACAATTGAAGTAGAAAGAGATGGCTCCCATTACTAGACATGATGGTTATCAAGAGGCATTACTTGTATACCACAGGTAAATACTTAAACTAGAGATCAAACCAGCTCAACAGCCTTCCTTAACGAATACAGAACATCATAAGATGACAAATCAAAAAACGCATTTAAAGCTCTCCTTGAAATAGATATCATGATCTCTTGGTAAGATAAAGGGGTGTGGGAAGTCATTTAAATGGCCTGTAATTGATGTCAATGTAGTAGGCTGTCCTGGATAACTTTTCCATTTTTATAAATGGTCATTGTCCTTTATTTGTAGGCCTTTTCCAATATCTCTTGGCTTATTTCTTTTTCTAGCTTTTGCTACACAAGGAGCAGTAAGTGTGCACTTATGTTTCATGTACTATTTTATTCGATTCTTTTCAACATACCATGATGTTATAATTTTGACCACTGTATAGATAATCAGGCTTGGATTATCAGCATTGTAAAAACAAAATGGCAGTGTTCTCGTGAAGGTCATTGGGTAAATAATCGAACCCACTGGCACATTGCTGTCTAAACACTACTAATGAATTCTCAGTGCAGTGTTTTCAAATTTTTATGTGTGTGTGTGTGTGTGGTGTCCTAATGTAGTGGCTAATGTACAAAGAAGATATCTATAGATGAGAGGTTGAAATGAATTAGGTTAATAAATCTTCTGGTAAAATAAAATTTAACTGTAAAAACTTTAACTTTTCAGTGATGATGATCAAGGTGTAGCTGATCATAAAGCTTCTTTAGAGAAGTTGAAAGAGAAAGATCCTGAATTTTATGAATTTTTGAGAGAAAATGATGATGAGTTGTTGAACTTTGACACATCAGAAGATGAAAGTGAAAATAATGAACCTGAAAAGCTGGATAAATATCACAAATTACCAGATAAACTCGAGGTAATGAATTTTTTTCTAAGATTATATTAATATCCCTCTAATGTTTGTAAGCCTCGACTCTTCTAGTCTTACACAATAAAGATTTTTTTCTGTTGTTTATTGTATAGTCATAATTAGTACAAAAAAATTCTGATGAAAATTGTTGGGTTTATGAGTATTTCAGGCTTCTTTGTTGCAGTAGTTTCACTTGACTAACACAACATAAACTTTAGATAATGTATTTTATGATAAATAATTAAGATGAATTGAAAGTACACAACACTTCATCTTTAATATTTAATTTATTAATCAGGGTTCAAAGGGACTTTTTTTATTACTTAGATTTGTTAATTATGTATATATTTTAGGGAACTAAAGAATGATAAAAAATTTAACCATCTGAATGTACATTTGTATTTCATTGTTTTTTTAGCCCAATCATTCCCCAATATTTTTAACAAGTGATGTTCCTCATGATATATTTGCTTCATTAATATGCCCTTTCCAGACCATACTAATCTATGGACTTATGTGGGGATAGAAGGGGATAGCTGCCCATCCCTGTCATCCTTTCGATTGAATAAATCAGTAGTGGTCTGCTTTTCAATATAGGGTTTTTGTGGTCACCTGTTGCACTGTCTCTGGTGTTGCCGTTCCTCTGGACTTTCCACTGCATTTATCCCCTCTTGTTCTTCTAGTGGAGTATGGGAGTCCTTGCCACTTTCCACTTCTGAGCTGCTGGGGTGGTAGACCATGGAGCTATCCAGAGAGCATGGCAGTGGTGTTCTGCTGGTGTAGATAGTGTGTTATCCTCCAATCGTGCTCCACCTCTGTGCGGTGGGTCCTGTAGGTTGATGCTGTGCCAAGTTTCTGTGTGATTCTATTAGGAGGGTGAGATTGCATATATTTTGTAGAGGCAATCAACTTCCGTGTTGTGGGACCAGGAGGATGATGTTGGGCTCCAACTTTTGTGTGTTTCTATCCAGAGGATGATGTTGCTTTGGAGTAGATCCGACACATTGCAGTCCACACCTTCAGTTGGGACCCCTTATCCTGTGATCACCTGGATGTTGGTTCCCATTGAATGGTTTTGGATTAAAGCTGGACCAATCAACATAAATCCTCAAATGTGTGTTGTTTGTGATTCCTTATCCTCACCCCAATTTCGTAGTTTTGCCTCATATTCTCCACTTCCATGAGGTGGGTCCTGGAGGTTGATGTTGTGCACACGTGCGCTCCAACTTCTGAGGGGTTCTATTTGGATTGAATATGGTTTGATGTGAAATGTCACATTGGCACATCCTTTCATACTATCAATTGGATGTCAGGTTCTGGGATGTAAAGGTGGTTGTGGATTTGCACACATGTGCCACATTTAGTAGATCGATTTGACATTTATATAATTCCCTTCTACTCAATTTGAGATGAAGATGGTGTAGACCCTCCTCCTGCCATGGGTCGGAAGTAGTAATCCAGATGCTACTTGGTTTTGGACTGGAGTTGACTGACCATATATGATCCATCATGCCCTAGCCACTCTATACCCTGAAGCACATCCATTTTAGCTTTCCTCACATTCTTGTCTGCAGATGGTTCTTCTACAGTCTTTCTTTACCGAGATTGAGATTTCCTTATGTTGCTGTTCAGATTCTAACCCACCTGGTTTTTTCTCTTCCTTTTGGTTGTACTCTTCCCACTTTTTTCTCCCATTGGGGATCACACTTCATGGGAGTTCTTTGGACGCTTTTGAAGGATACTCATTTCTATCCCTCACATTGGTCCCTCCACCTATTTAATGTGGGATTCTAGTTATACATGTGAGTGTAGGATAATGTACCATATTGGAAGTTATTATTTTCCCATATTAAAAATATATTTCCGATAGATACGTATCTCCTCTCAAACTTCCCAAACTTTGGTAGAATTGAATAGAGGGAGTCACAAGCGTCAGGAGGTGTGTTGCACTCCTATTGGTGGAGGGTTGTTGCATAATGATTTACACATGAGACACAGTTGAACTAAATTGATTGTGTGGTATGCAGGAATTCAAGGCTTGTGGCATGTGAAAAAGTTTTTGCATATAGAGGGCAGTACTGAACGAGAATAGCTATATATTTTCAGTATAGGAAAATAATAACTTTATTTCCAAAAGGCTATGTTATAAGGTTGTCATGTCAAAAGTACACCACTGCTCCCTGATTGGTTCCATAATCCATCTAGTTTACGAGGATGATAGCTTACCAGCACCTGTTTCAACAATTCAGTTACATTGAAATACATAGATGCTGTTGTGACGTCTTAACCAGTTTAGTGTTGTATGAAAAAGCATGAATACCCATTTATTTGAATAGCTGTTAGAGGTAATTGATATATTGTGGAAGCAACTTATCTGAATGTAACCTTGTATCACTTTTCCAGTTGGAGATCCTTCTTGATTATGTTGTTTTTGTCTGAGACACATGGTCAACTTTTGCCACTTTCCTTTGTATTGCACTTTTATTACAATAGATGGGATACAACTTAGTGCAGATCTTTTTCCGAATGTTCTTTGTGTTCCAGGTTGATCAATATTCCTGTTTTCTGATGCCATTAATTACAAGGGATATCCCTTTCTAAATTCTAAATCCTCGCTGTGAACACATATTTATATACTTATAACATCATAATGATCTGAGTGTAGGAATATTTTGTGTTGGAAAGGGCTGTTACATACCCTTCACAAAATTGATCAATATCAAAATGTAGTTCTGATACACTCCATTGCAACTTTTTAGAAGTTTTTGTTGTCACACGACTTGCTGATTTTCATATTCAAAACTGATTTAAAATAAGATGCTCAATCCTGTTTAATACCAGTAACTTTGTTATTGTGGAACTTTGTTTTATGTTAAATTACAAGACAAAGGCGTTATTGTAATAATAGAGTTTTCATAGGTTTTACTTGTTTTTTTATTGCACGTTTTCCTGAACAGTTGTACCAAAATTAAATTTGTACTAGGTGGAGGGCATAACAACTTTGACAAATGCCAGCCTCTGTGTATTGAAGTTTGACATATCTTGTGGTACAGTTAAGAAGATAATTAACAAGGAAGTTTACAAACTTTCAACCATTCAGTGTAGTAAGTTATTGTTTCTGTGGTAAAATAATCAAAGAAACTGAATTCACAGCAGTTTCATACCTGTCAAGTCCTCCAGTACAGTTTCAGTGGACTTTGTTTTGCTTAAAAGAGGTCTTGGAAGCTGACATCCATGTACAGTGAAGAGTCTGTAAAATGTTTCTCAAGATATGTGGTCTAAGATTGAGCTTATTATCCTTCATAGCAGCTTGATAATAGAAATTGTTGGTTAGGGCAATATTGTGCTATCATAGCCATCAACTTAAGCATGACTGACAATGAAGAAAATAGATCCAAAGGCAGCACAGTACTTTCAACATTGTTCTTATAAAATATGATGAACTCTCAGTAAGTATTTGTTATAAAATTTTGTGATAATATCATTCATTGTCAACATTAAAATATTTTTCTGATATGATATCTTACCTCCTCTCACAAAAAGTTTTTTGATTAGTACTACCCTCTATTGGCCCAAATGTTTCGCTCGGCACTAGCCTTGTAACCCCCACTTCTTTCTGCATATCTACATGTAAATGAACATGCAGCAACCCTCCACCAATAGGAGTGCGACATTATCCCTATCATAACTAGTGCCCTCTCTAATAATGCACTTGTTAATTACTACTTAATTGGCACAGTATTAACCTTCTTCAGTATATTCATCAGAAGGTAGTATTTATTTAAGCTTCATTACAGCATTAGAATAGAAATTTTTGAGTCATAATGTACTAAGTTAATAGTTTATTTTATTTATACAAATTTCTTGAATTTAGGCTGGGAGTGATGATTCAGAAGTGTCTGAAGTGGAAGAAGAAGAATCACAAAAAAATGAACTAGTGTCAATAACACCTGCTGTTGTAGCAAATTGGAGAAAACAGTTGCGGGTTAGTATGAAGTCATTTTATTATAATTATTTGTTTAACCCTATCTACCTGGACATCATTTACTGAGCATGTCATGAGGTTTTAGTGGCTTACATTCAGCATTTTATTAAATGCCTTTTTGTTTATGTTATACCAATTAGTATAGCATAAAATCATAGTTAATAATCCATATTTTAATTGTATATAAGTTTTAAGTTCTTAATTTTATAAGGCAATATAATAAAAATCCTGAATTTCCCCTAGTGTGAGAAAGGTGACACATTTTCTATAGGCATCCCATCTTCTCTATTTTATTCAACACCCTTCAGATAAGTACAAAATTTAACATAAATTATTCTCTATAAAATTGTCTTTGCTCAAACAAACCATAATTTTTATAGCTTTCAATTTTGTTTGGTTACAGAGCCATCAAATAGAAAATAAAAGCCCTCTTGTCACACCTACCTGTCACATTCTCTTCTTGAGGATTTGTTAATAGTTCTCTCTTACATTTAATTCTATATTATCTATAACCAATAGAACGCCATAGTTTTAATCTATCAAATGACATATTAGTGTTCTGAACAGAGAATTGTCAGTTTCTTTTTTAGTACAAGCTTCGTTCCAATGGGAAAGATAATGACTAGCTTGGATGAAGACATAATAAAGTGAGAAAAAACTATCGAGGTTAACTGTAACAAGACATGGAAAAGTGAAAAGAAACTATCAAGGTTAACTGTAACAAGACATAATAAACTAAGAAGAAACTATTGAGGTTAACAGTAACATGATATGAAAAAGTGAGAAGAAACTATTGAGATTAACTGTAACAAGACATGGAAAAGTGAAAAGAAACTATCCAAGTTAACTGTATCAAGACATACTAAAGTGAGAAGCTATCACTTTTAACAGTAACAAGATATGAAAAAGTGTGAAGAAACTATCGAGGTTAACTGTAACAAGACATGGTAAAGTGAGAGGAAACTATCAAGGTTAACTGTAACAAGACATGGTAAAGTGAAATGAAACTATTGGGGTTAACTGTAACAAGACATAGTAAAGTGAAATGAAACTATTGGGGGTTAACTGTAACAAGACATAGTAAACTGAGAAGAAACTATCAAGGTTAACTGTAACAAGACATAGTAAAGTGAGAAGAAACTATCAAGGTTAACTGTTTACTATGTCTCGTTACACTAATAGCCGAAGCTACAGTTGTAGTTTCCTGATTTGGTATTGCATATGCCTCGGCCACTTGGTGAAATAATCCATCACCACACAAATGTACTTGTTTCCAGCACGAGTTTGGGGCAGAGGACCAGCAATGTCGACGGCTACTCTTTCCGTTGGTGCACCAACTTGATATAACTTCATTGGAGCACATCCCTTATGCTTGGGTCTCCTTTTAGCACAACATGTACTGCATGTCCTGCACCATTCTTTCACATCTTGTCACATACCTATCCAGTAAAATCTGTGTCGTAGGTGACTCAATGTCTTCTTAACTCGCTTTAACTTAACACACGCTATAATTCACAACGATTCACGTACTTTACCTACCACTCACTTGACTCAATTATCTGTCTCTATATCTCTCTTCGATCTGCTATTATTCTATGCCATCACATCTCTTCTCGGCTTTATTTTCCGGGCTTATATATACAAAAATAGAGGGCGTCTGGTAAACACTTAGCCTTCATAATCCTTCTAGAAACTCAGAACGTGTTACCAGAGTCACTTGATTTCACTGTCGTAACAATATATAACCCATTGTGTAGCTCTGCACTATAAAAACAGCAAGAGAATCTTTTCGCGAAAATGTTTGTCACTGTCAGATATAAAAGACTGTTTAGTGCTGGTATTGTTATTACTTAATTAATTTTGTATTTTTAATTCATCGATGTCGAGGCTATAGAACATTGTGTTTTCAATCCACTGATGTCGAAGCTATGGAGATTTCTAGAAGGCCTAAGTGAGAGACGTATAAATAGTTGTAACCAGACGAGCAGAAAGAGAGTAAAGGTAAAGTTATGTGAAAGAGAACATCGGTCAGAGAAAAGTTGGAAAACGTTTAACCATTGTGGGAGTGAATGGCCTAACGGTTGATATGTTAGAGTGAGATTAACAATTTGAAAGAGATAAGGAGAATAATTTGTCTTGTCAAAGGGTGTTCTAAATTACTTGAACTGGCATGTACGAAAAGCAGACGATCATTGGAAGTTCAATATACAACTGGGGTAACTCACGCGACAGTGTATGTGAATTATAAACGGATACTATTGCAATAAAAATAGTTCAACTTGTCAACTGAATTCTAAAGCAATTGAATAGGTCTAAGTGGACTTTTGACAATAAGAGAGAACTGTGTTTAAGATACAAGTATGATCTCCATAGTGTAAAAAATGTTTTGTAAATACGTTTAACTTGTTTTGAATAGATATATTATTTTAAACACAAGTGGAGTGCGTGCTGTTCGTTTATGTTGAATTTATCGCTAACAAGTCACAAACACCTACTGTAGAAGAATCCTTAGCCCAACACACCCATAAATTTACATTACTATATATACTAAAAAGTAGTTTCCTACAGTTACTTTTGTAAAGTATTAATCCCTCTGCCAATATTCAAATTAGGAAGAAAAGTTTAAATATCAACATCTTGATAATAAAAGTGCAATGACTTTCGGGAGAAAAAATAACAACAACCGGCATCCAATAATAATTTCTGCTTGTAAAGTAGTTTAATTTATAAAATATTTAAAACAGTATTGTCTTATTGCAGTCACAAATGAGCCAGAAATTGTAACTTAATACCATGGGCAATATTTTTGGTGAAATTATTGTGATTTTTACTTACAGTAATTTTAAATCATTAGAAATTAGCATTCATTTATGTGTTCTGTTTCACATTAAGTTAAATCAGTACTTCTTTTGTCTTATCCAGTATTACAAACCGAATGTTTTATTAAAATATCCCAAGTAATTGTGTTTCGCCCTCTCTCGGTGTTAGAGAGAAAGATTAACAAAATGGCTACTAAAAGGTGAGTAGCACATGTTTTTCTGACAACATAATGTAATTATAATTACAATTTTTTTGATGAAACTTTAAATATTTTACACTGTATCACTATCTTCATAAATTTAGACCATTGAAATATAAAGTAATTCGTCAAATGTTTTCATGTTTTTTTACTCTTAGTATCTGACTCTTGAATATATTATTTTAATAAAATTTTTATGAATCATAATAAAAATTAATATTAATAATTTAACATTTTTAAATATTAAATTTATTTATTTAAATATAAATAATTATAATATTCATAAAATTGACATATGTTCTGTGCGATGTTTATGCATATGTCTAATTAGTTAAGTTTTAACTTCAAATTTCATTAACTTTGAGGTTTTACTCTTAGCGTCTCTGGTCAACGCAATCATAGGCTTTTGTCTGATTGGCAGAACTTGCAAATCCAATAATAATTCGTGTCATTAGATTTTGACAAATACATGCAAGCTAATTACCAATAAACAGTATCAGATTTTTATGTATATTCTTCAAGAAAACCCTGTTGTTGTAAATTAGAAAATAATGATTTGTAAGAGCCATGATATTGTCGAATACGTTTATTCTACAATAAGTATCATTGTGCTTTCAAATCATTGTTTGTTAATGTACTCTACACAAGTAAGAAAAATGTTTTACAGTTTTGCAATGAGAAGTGGCAAGCATATTTTTAAAAAGTTGGGTAGATAACGTTTTGCAACATCAACTTGGTTAAGGTTTAATTTAATTTTTATCACACACAATTATTATGTTAAAATTGATTAGTGAAACAGATGTGACTAATTCTGATACATCTAAATAAGATGACCATCATACCACTTCCATAAAAGTGTATAAATAATTACAAATACTGTATGTTCAAACTAGTTTTGACCTTGTTCAGATAATATACTGGTTATCAACAAAGTTTCTGACTTTTATTAAAAACTGGTGTTTAAAGGTATTGTAAAAGAATAATTATTTAAGCGGGATGAAATATGGTTGAAAGAAGGATTGACAAAATCATTGGACAAAAATCAGAGTTAGTATTCAAATGACAACAATTTCTGGACATTTGACTCAACTGAAAGAAAATTCTAAACATTTAGATTTGTTTAGAAAAGGTGTTGTTATGTACAAATATTTTAGCATATGCAAATAAGATAATTATAAAGAGCCATTTTAGCATATTTAACCACTGTAAAATAATTTTGTGTAAATTATGATTCTGTTGCAATATTTTGACTTTTTTATTATTTCTGAAAAAGAAGGACTCTACTACTGAGAAATTCTAAAATTCTTGTTATATTTAAACTCAATAGTTTCTTCTCACTTTACTATGTCTTGTTACAATTAACCTTTATAGCTTCTTCTCACACTTCTTCTTCAGATTTGGTATGCCATATGAACTGCATTCAGATCAAGGCCGTAACTTTGAATCAGCTGTGTTCACGTCTGAGAGACGATCCACTATGTCATATGGGCCTTCTCATGGAGAAGACAACTTGGGAGACTTCCCTTTGGTCTTCCTGGGATTATACAACCACACCTTGTCTCCTGGTTCAAAGCTGACTTCAGTAGATCTCTTATCATAAGTTAACTTCATCGAATCAGCAGACGTTTTCAAGTTTGAACGACCTTGATGGTGAATATCATCCATCCTTTCCGATAACATTTTCACAAACTCTGACACATTCTCAGGCAACTCTTCATAAGGTGGGCGTCCTGTTAACAGATCCACTGGCAACTGAAGTTCCCGACCAAACATCAACTTTGCTGGAGTTTATCCAGTGGTTTCATGCTCTGCTGTCCTATAGGCCATCAACAGTGGAGGAAGTAAGACATCCCAGTCATCTTGGCGGCTATTACAAAACTTTGCCAATTCCTGTCCCAGTGTCCAGTTGTACTTTTATACCATCCCATCAGACTGAGAGTGAAGTGGCGTTGTCCTGGTCTTTCGGATGCCAAACAACTTG